TAGTTACTGTAAGACAGATGATGTGGCATTCTACAGAAATACTTGCAGTCATAACGATATGTTGTAAATGCAGAATGATGTTGCATTGATGTCTGAAATAAAAAATATCCCTTTTAATTTTAATTAACGTACACTTTTAAGCCAACATAAATAACTGGGCACTGAAAAGGGCTATTCCAGAAGAACTACATTGGTATCTATTATAATTTTGAGATATAAGAGGGGCAGAGTAGCAGGTTAGGTAGGCCAAGAAGCAGAAAGCAAAGTAACATATTTCAAATGGAAACTTAGTTGAAAAGGAAGATTTTGTTTTGCAATTGTGACTTTTAATTCCAAATTAGCTGCATCAGAATGATAAGTAAAAGATGGAAAGGATTAAATTAGAAAGTTTAGAGACCATTATAAATTAAAATTATAATTTTTATTTAGATATCTTTTATATCTCTCTTTATATGTATATGTGTGTATGTGTGTACATGTAATAAAATTAAAATTAAAAGTTGAAAATAATGCCCTTATAATAGTTTTGGATATCTTTTCAGAATTTCCTTATATTTTTTTAATACTAGTCCATTTCGCTAAACAGTTCCCAATTTTGTTTTCTTTTGAAAAAATGACATATTTAAGTGGATAGAGCTATTAGTGATTTATGACTCATTAATTCTGATCTTTCTTTTGGTTGAAACATCTTTCAAGTTTTAAACTAGATGAGTGTACAGATAATTCTGAAAAATTCTTCTTTTCAGAAAAGGGATCTTAATAATTTTAATTTTGGTTATCTTAAAGTTATTTGCTCATCTGCTTCATAGTATCTATAATAAGAATTAATGATGATTTTTTGTAATTTAAAAAATGAATTTTCAATAAATGTTCTTCAGTTTATGAGTATGTTGCTTCATATATTTGTTGAAATTTGTTAAATTTCAGTTTTTCTCTTCCGTATTGGAGTCATTTTTATTTATAACTATGTATAATTTTAAAATTACTGATATCCTTTTACAAAGATAATTGCAGCTGTGTACGAACGTATGATAAAATTATTGGGTATTTAAAATAAAAAGAATCGGTGGTAGCATATGTTTAATCTGCAAACGGGTGCACTGTATCCAGTGGACCTGTTTGATTAAACAAACCTTTCTCAAAGCACACCTATTTCACCCAAGTTGTTGAGGTCCAGTGTAGTCATGTCTGAGGTAGTGCTTTCGCTGGGGCTTTGAATTCGTAATCTTGTTTTTGATCAGATCAGTCGCAGTGCTGTTACATAATTGATTTGGGATAGTATAGAGAGTAGCACCTGTCACGTAATTTATCATACAAGAAAGAAATTTTGCAAAAGTTATTAGATCTATCAACTGCTGAAGAATCTATTGTAGAAAATGAGGATGGAAGTTACCATGAATTGTTTAGTTCATATGAATCTGATTCAGAAATGGATATACATTTTAAAAATGAGAGTGAAAAGGACAGAAATTGCATTATTGGAAAAAAAATTATCAGAAACAAAACAAAAAAAAAAAAAAAAGAGTGTTTTCCCTGCCGTTTGCATAGAAAAATGAAAACTCGCTGTACCTAATGTGAAAAATATTTGTATTTGGAACACATGACAACACTTTGTTCAACGGGCTGTTAATATTTGCTTTTGTATTTTTTCTCCATGTAGTGCTTATAAAGAATCAATACATAGTAACGGTATACTATTTTGTTTTCTATAACGATGTATAATACGATTTTCTGTTCCTTTAAGAAATTTTATTTCATAAAACCATTTGGAGAAATTAAAAATTTTGATGAGCATATTTTTTAAGTTTGATCATGAAATTTATTATTGGAATAGACTCAAAACTTTTTCTGAAAATTTACAATTTTTTCTTCAAAACACACGAATTGGGTTTTTTTTGGATCCAGTGCACGACCTCACGTAACTCATATGAGTGCGCATGCTCCCGGGTTAAAGCAAAAATATGCACAGTGAAGCTGCTTGGCACTCGTTAAATTTGATCATGGATGCTGCATATGTATCATATAACGTTCCATGTCACTTTGCTTATTTATAGATGTGCTTTGAGTAAATCTGTTAAACGTCTTGTTATTTGCATTCACCAAGGCAAAGAAAATTGAGCTGATAATTACACTAAATTTTGCCAAAAACTTGCTCTTGCTTATTCAAATAGTTAAGCTGAGTTGTAGGAAGTATATGGGGAAGGTAGTATGAACTGTATTTGAGTTTATAAGTGGGCCATATTTTTCCAACGTGATTTAGAATGTGTCGGAATTCAACACATGGACAAAGGTTCTCAAAGACTTGTAATCGAAGAAAATGTCCAATAGATATGGTTAGTGTTGGATAATTGATGAATCACTATGTATTAGATATTTGAAGCTTTCAGCTTAAGTTACAGTTGTGTTCAGTCAGTTCTTGCCCAAGATTTGTATATGTGGTGCATGTCTGTGAAGTACGTGCCAAAATTTGCAGCTGACAAAAAAAGAAAAAAATGTAAGATATGTCCGTGGTTTTGCCAAGCATAGTAAAAACTTTTTAAAAATAGTTGTAGTAAATTCTAGAACTGTATCTGTAACCTTGAAACCAATGTTCAGTTTGTTGGCTGGAAGATCCCAGCCTTTCTGAGATCTGAGAAATTATAAAAGAATGGAAGTCCAAAAACAAAAGGACTACTGACCTTTTGTTTTGGGCAAGGTTATTGTTCATTATGCATATTTTCGATCTGGCCAGGCAGGAACCCGACTATGTTATCGTGAAGTGTTGACATATTTGAAAGAAAACCTAAAATTGCATGGGTCTGGTGAGTGGCTCATTCACCCTGATAAAGTACCTACCCATTTAGCTCAGCTTCTGTAGCAGTTTTTGGTCAAGCACAAAATTCTTCAGAATCAAGAGCTACTATGTACCCAGATCTCATCTTTTGTGTTTTTTTTTTTTTTTTACATCTTTTCAGAAGGTCCATTTGAATGAGAGGATATTTCAAGATGTCGAAGAAATCTAAGAACATAATGAGGCAGCTGCGTACTGTCTTAAAGAAGAAAATGCTTTTAACAGTGAAAGCAGTTGCAGATAAAATGTGTAATATCAAAAAGAGACTAATTTGAAGGAGATTAAATATCAAATTTCTAAATGTTTGTTTTTTAATAGGACCAGTCCCGATACATTTTTGTCATACTTTTCGTGTATTATAGCAGTAATGTAAACCCACTGGTTGGTAGTAATATGCGAGGTGTGGAAATTCATAGCTATGTAAGTGTGCAAAAACCTTAAATAGAAGCCTACTGATTGGCGCCCAATCAGTGGGGATATGTCCACGAGCAAGGGGGAAAAGTCATCATTCATACTTTCAAATAATTTTAACAAAGTGTGTAAACCATATTTTCATTATTATTGCTTATAATAAACACACCAAATTTCAGAACGTGTCAAAATGTAAATTCATGTATATCTTAGGAAATTTTGAATAAAAAAAAAACTCTATTTTTTTGCAGGTATGCTTACATCTAGTTTAAGATGATGGCAAAACTTTTATAGGCTATAATTCAAATTTTTTTCCGAAAAATTTATACGAATTATTTAAAAAAAAAATAAAATAAGGGCGAATTTTATTGGGAATGAACCGAAATTTCAAACTGTGAAAGAGGGAATCAAGTAAGTTTAATAAAAAGGAGATATTAATAAATATACATGAAATTAAATTAACATTGAGGAGCTAAAATTTTGAGAGCTAATTTTTTAAAAACTACTTTTGTGATTTTTACAAAACTTGGCACTTTGGCATAATTTGAGTTGTAGAATCGAAATATAGAAAAAAATTGGCATGTCATTTCAGAAAAAGTCCGATTTTTGTGTCAAAATACCTATATTAAAACAATGCTATATATAAATCTAATACACATCCTAAGTCATGCTTTCGAGACATGAAAAACTCAAGTTGAATGTTGTCAATCGGCTCAGTAGAAGGGAAGATATCGAATTGTTGCCCTTTTTTTTTTTTTTTTTGCAAAGTGTGCATAGATTGTCTAGCATTGCAAGAAGTGTGGGAGGACACTGTGTAACAGCATAAAGTGGTAATTTTTACAGAAAAACTGTGTTTGCTGTGTTGCAAAATAAATGAAAAAGTTACAACTATCTTTATTATGACATATATTTGTTATTATATGAACAAAAGGCAAATTAACAATTTGTGTAGTAAAATTCTTTTAAAAATGCACCAGTGATTTTATGCATTTCTGTGCTGTTTGCATTAGTGTACATTTAGAAAAATTATAGTTAAATCCCAATATACCAGGGTAGTGCCACAGTTAACTCAAAATTACAGTTAATTCAAGTGAATTAAAAAAAATGCATGAAAGAGGAATAATCTTTTTATAATTAACCAAGAACTACTGTAAGCAATTTGCTTGTATTTTCAAGCAGTTTAATTTGGAGAATAAGTTTGTTTGGTAACATAAGTTAAATAAGTATTAAAAACAAAAAGAACGTATTTGTAACAAAAATTTAACATCGTTAGAATGTGAAAAACCAAATTAGAAGTGGCATTAAAGTTAATATTTATTAGAGAACTTAAGTAGTGGTATTAAGTTTGTACTCAGAAAGCAATGTTTTGCTTTTTGTTGTAGTATGCTTATGTTTTTTGGATTATATATAATTCAGCTTTCTACTAATGCAGATGAAAACTGTTCCAAAATGTAACATCTGCTATCACTGCTGTTATTCCATGCACATTTTTCCTTGTATTTTCGACAGGCAATTTTCTTTTATGCTGATGTTTTATGGTAGTTATCTTTCCACTGTCCCATAATGAATAAACATAACTTTATAAAAAGTTGTACCTGAGTTAATCTGCATCCCAGTTAATTAGAAGTTGTTTGTGTATTTCTGAAAATTTCTGAAGTTTACTGTCTTTAAATCACTATATAAAGTTTATCTGATAGTTAATTTGATCTTAAAAGTATTTTTATAATCCTTTCTTAGTAATTATTTTATGTCTTTTAAGGTGTTCCATTCCCTCCTAGTCATAAACTTACTATAGCAGAAGTTTTTGACCCAAAGACCTCAAAACCTCGCACAGATGTATTAAAACAGCATTTTGTATTAGAAGGCCGTATAGAGGAAGCTGCAGCGCTCAAAATTATCAATGAAGGAGCAGCACTTTTACGGCAAGAAAAAACTATGATAGATATTGAAGCTCCTGTTACAGGTATGCATTTCTGTTTCCTAGAATTTAGATTTTGTCTTTTATGTAGTATTTACGTTCAATATTAAAATGCAATAAATATGAAAAGAAAAGGCTTCTCTTAAAGTAATATTTGATAAGTGTCCCCCTATTAGAAATAGCCTATATCTTAAGTATTCATAATTTTCTGTGAGACATTACATTATGTAATGATGCTGAGGAATTTATCATGTGGCTTAGCAAATATTTTCATTCCATGATGTATATGAATTTTAATTTACTCAGCCATGCAATTAGCAAGTATTGTAATTGTAAGCAATTTTAAATTCATTCTTCAAAATGAAAATTACAGTGTTTAAATAACCAAGTGATTTCAAAGCAATAAATGCAATTCTTAATTATCTTAAATTATTATCTCATTGATTTAATTTTTAGTATTTTTAAATTGTGATTTGTAAAATGTTTTTTTTTTTTTTTTTTTTTTTTTTTTGTAGTCATTTGTATATTTAAATAAGCGTCTCGATTTCCATGTGTGAAGTATGTTAAAGAATAATCATTTGCGTACCTTTTAACAAGTTTTTATTTTTTACCAGGTTTTCCAAATTGTAATATAAAAAATGAACATAAAGTAAAAAACATCTTTTTGGATTATGCATTATAAAATATTTGTTGAATAAAATTGGGGTGTATTTGATGCATTAATAAGATGCGAGTATATTAAAAAAAAGTTACCATTTCTTCTGTCAAAAATTTGCTACTTAATCTACTGTATTAAAAAAAAAAAAAAAAAAGAAAAAGTAAATTTCTAATTTAGATGGTCACAAGTGTATGCCATAATCTTTGAATTAAATAGAGATATGCTAAAAATCTAATATTTTATGAAATTTATGATATACTTTTAGAAATACATATAATTTACAAGTATCTAGAATTATTAACAGTTTAAATAAATAGTAAAAAGCATATCAGCTTCAAAAAATTTAGATATTAGCTGTTTTAAAAAAGAAAAAAAAAATCTTAAGAATAACATGTTTTAATTACAGTATGGGAATGCATGCTTTGCAATAGAGTGTTTTAGTTTATTGGAATTTTTGAATTTTTTTAAGGGTTCAACTCATTTGTTGCACTTGTGTGCTATTCTTAGGTGTATTTTTTCCTGATATCGTTCCAAAACACACACCTTAGTTTTATGGTTAGCACAATCCCACTCATTTAAGAATCCTAGGAACATCTGAAGTTTGCTGAGGGAAAAAAAGTCATTTGCAATATGCTATCTTTAGCTACTCTCTTCCCATCTATCCCAGTATTGTTTCTTCTCCTATTACATGTCTACTTCCAGACTTTTGTTGTATATTTTGAGTCAGTTTTTAACTGTTGCTTTAGTTTATATTTGACCTTGTACTTTTTAAAATTATTTATTGCCTTGACCTAATTATAAAATATTACAAAATTTCTGTAATATTTATGAAATTATAAGAATTATTTGGATTCTGAGGGTTGATTTAAATTTTAATATATAATACAAGATAGTTTAAATTTGTTTATAATAAAGGATTCATATAAATTAATTTTTAAAACATTTTATATTATTGGGGATATATTTACTGTCAGATTTGATAATTACTAGTATTTTAATAATTTTTGTTTTTTTAACTTTCAATGCATTTTAATTAAATATTTTATTTTCATTAGAAAATTGTGTTGTTTTTATTATTAAAATTTTTAACTCTTGAGTATATATATACATAACAATAAATATTGTCTTTATTGGCATAGAAAATGTTAAATTTTATAAACCTTCCTTTGCTGTTATTTATTAATTCAAATATTATTCTATGAACAGATTCCAAGCATAAATATCTATTGAATCTTTCAAATCAATTGAAATTTGCTTTTCGGAATTAATCTAAAAACATAAATATATGTTTTAAAATAACACAGTAAGTACATCATCAAACCATTGCTTTTAACATTTCAGTTAAACTGCATCTAACTGTTCTGTGTATAAGCAAATGTCTTGAATGATCCACCATCCTTCTTGAAGCACCCACCAGTGGGTGAGTTTTTAAGAACATTTGAACACTGGTAGTTCAGCTTAGGTTTGAACTCCAACAAAAGAGCTGGGTGGTGGAGAGTTTTCATGCTTTCCTTATATATAATGTGAATATACTCTTTATCTTTTCTTAAATTTTTAGGAAAACAAGTATTTAAACGATGTGCTGATTTTTTTATTTTTTTATAACAGAATGAAATTAAAGAATATTTCAAATTTGAATTTAAAGTCTTATTTGAAAATATCTTTTAGAAATTTTCTTTCTGTTTATTCAATGAAAATATGTTGATTCATTCTCTCCATTTCTATTTCTTTCAAGTCTGTTAAGAGCTTGTAAATGTTTAGTGGAAATTGCTGGGTGTGGCTTGTAAATGGGTGTGGTATGGAAACTTAATGATTTAAATTGAGGTTGGAGAAGTAGCCTGTGGAATTGATTAATGCTATTTAGATTGAGGAGGTTTTGGAATGGAACTGTATTTTTGTCTCAAAAGTATTTTTTGATATTTTATATATATGTTTAATCAACTTGCAAGCTTTTCAGTTACATAAAGTTTTCTACCTTAATTTTTTAATTGATTTAGCAATGTGGCTAGATATGCAGGATATATTATTTCGTTCTTTATGTATATATTATTGAATAAACAAGACTTTAATTTTTGTTTTTACATACTGTGGTACATTTTACATATCGTACTTTTTTTTTTTTTTTTTGAAAAGGAGAGCAAGTTTGCGTGTATGTGTGTTTTCCGTTGTTTTAAGTTGTAGTTACCGAAAAGATTATTGCAGGTATACTTGATTTGATCTACATATACATATTATGAGAAACATTTTAGGATTTTTTATTAGAAAATATAAATTTTATTAGAAAATATAAAAAGTGATATTTGACAAAGAAAATGGTTTAGTGTAAGACAAATTAATGGCTAGACAAAATGAATATTGACTGAGTGTTTTGCTTTATTTTTTCAGGTAAAGTTGTAATCAATAAGTGGTTTATATTTTCTTTAATAAATAAAATTGTATATCTCAAAATATTGCCAAACTTGTGTCTGTATAAATATATAATTTTCGGATTTTTTTAACTGCACTGTATATATCAAGATTAAATGTTTAGTAAAAATTATTTTTAATAATAACAGTTCTTTTTGATGCCTGAATATTGAATGCATCTCTGACATTACCCATAGTAGTCTCTTTGGCGAGCATGTTGGCTCTCTCATTGCCTGTAACATCAATATGGACTTTAACCCAGTTCATTTTCACTTCATATATTTTCTCAACTTTTACAAGGAGATTTTTTATATGCGAGAACAAAATATTAGTGTTATCAGCATCTGTTAGTCATTCCAAACCAGATAATGAGTCTCTTTATATATTAATATATGTTTTTGCAGTCAGGTTTCATTAATGTATATAAGAGAAAATATAATAGCAGCCAATTCGGCTTGAAAAACCAAATTGTAAAGCTTCGGGTAAAACAAGAAATTAGGTTTTTGTAAATTTAATCTCTGCTTTTCTTTTTCAATCCAAATTCTTAGATCTTCTACAGCAAATGAAAACACTTTCTCTAATTTCTTCAAAGAGTGTTTTACGAATCACATATAAAATGTCATCAGCATAGCATAACATTCTTCACCATTTGGGCACTCTTTCTTTAACAATATATTATGGAGTTCCAGAGCAGTGGAGCACTGCAGGAACCCTGTGGGCATCCTTTGTAAACTATTCTTTCAATACAAGTATTTTTATTAAATCTGTGAATAACTTTCCTTTGGTTAAAATAACTAAGAAAGATTCTATAAATAGTTTTGAGTATCTCAAAATCTCTAAGGATGGAGAGCAAAGATGTCCATCGAATAGAGTCAAAGACTCTCGAGACTTCCCCCCCCTTTTTTTTTAAAGAAAGGATAGCATGCTATTTTTAAAGAAATGCCAAAAATTTGTTCTTTTTAGTTAAAGTTCTGCCTTCCGGCTTGTAAATCACATTATTTTTATTTATTTATTTATTTTTTGCCAATAAATGATTGGAAGTAACATCAATAAGAGAAGCATATGATGTGTTAAAGAGCAGGATAATAAAGCGTTCATTAGGGATTGTAAAGAAATAATTTAAAATAATATTTCATATAATGAAAGATATAAAAGATAAAAATATAATTTATTGCAAATTAAATGTGTAATGAAAGCTTTGAAGCAATTATGAAGAAAGCATTTTATTTAAATTTAAGTGAATGATTAATGTGCACAAGTTTTCATGAATAAATATTAAAAATTTAATACAGTACATCTCGCTTATAATGAGCTTCGATTTAATGAGGAAATCGGAAATGATTGGTTGGATTTTAAGTCTAGGAGAGCATAACTCCCTTTTAACAAGCAAACCCTGATCATAGCGAGCAATATTTTTGCGATTTATAAAATTTCAATTGATTTCCACCTCTCTGGTCCATATAATCCTTTCTTGGAAAAATTTCTGTAACATTACAAAGTCAATCAAAAGTTAGTGATGAGTCATAAATTCTGAAAATACTTGATGGCAGTCTCTTTAATCTTGTGGAGTGCACGTATGAGGACATCCTATAATGATCTTGAGAAGGTGGATGAAGACAATAGAGGTTGCCGATTGGATGGAAGTTTACTCCGTTTAGGAGTAGCAGGGTAGGGAGCTTGTGTGGAGGTCATTTTTTGATTTGCATTCATATGTTCTTCAAATTTTATCTTGCAATATTGAAACATAAAATTTTATCAATTGATGGCAAAATAGAGATTTTATAAGAATTAGAAGATGGTATAAAAAATTTCAAAATCTGCAGAAAGTATAATTTATCTTCTCCTGTTTCAACATCGTTAAAGAAAAAGGAAAAAGTAATGGCTGCATTTGATCAAAATAAGAATGATTGTAAGCATTTGAAGAAATGTGCTAAAGAGGATTTGGACACTGTTTTAACTTCTACTTGGTCGGATTGTTTTA